AAAATCACAAAGAAAAACCAAAAAATTGGGTTTTTTTTTTTTTTTTTTTTTTTTTGGAAGCTTTACGACTCAACAGCCCAAATTGAGAGAGAATGGGACTTACTTGGCCAAAATTGCCTTTATGATCATCTGTACCCAGGGAGCAGTGGGCTCCAAGCACACCTCTTTGCCATCCTTCAGAGTAGCTCTGCAAAATAGAGAATAAACAAAAGTCAGGAAACTGCTACATGGTTTTGTTCTACTCACAGATTGTAATACTGATTTTTTTAGACTAGTTAGTATAAATTCATCCAACTGCTCTAGGTTAGACTTGGCCATTTTGTTACATGTGTTCCACGACTGGGGAGACTAAATCCAGCCAGAAGTTGTGTGAGTCTCTGTGCCTGCTCTCAGTCACCCATCCCCAAAAATCTTTCTCAATATATACTTGGTTTGAATTTGTTTCTATTAGTAAAGCTTTCTTACACAATGACTGAAACCTCCAGTGGTGAAAAGGTGTTTCAGCAGCATAAGCATTTCTACATTCTAGTCCCTCCTCCATGCTATTCAAGACCAGATGAGTTTCATTGTTTCCCTAAATCTGCTTCTGGGAATTTTTGTGTCACAAAGGCTGCTTCCATGGGAGCTTTGCCTGCCTCATTGCCCCTAGTGTTAAGAACCAACCAGTCCTTGAAATTCATGTTCTACCACCAGAAATATTGTGTCCCACGACAGAGAAATGATGAATCCTGGAGGCCATAGAGCATAGGTAAAGAAGAGGGAGGCTCTCACAGAGCTACTTACATGACTTCAACGTTCTTGCAGTGGGGGCCACTTGGGGTCAGCTTCACATCTTTGATGGACTTGGGAGGAATGAACTTGGAGTGAGTGGCTATGCACTGGCACCGGAGCTCAGTCCCCATCCTTGCTATGGCCATACCTGGGAGTAGAAAAGGGAGGTGGTGGTTTGAGAGGTGATCTTACCAGCACTCTCTCAGACATAAAGCACGACTGCTCTATTTTAACAAGACTAGCAATACTGCATTTATCCAAGCTGCCTAAATCCTCGTGGTGTAAAGATCAATTGCTGATTTGTTTCAGAGGAGCTGAAGCCCAAGCACATTTAAAACTAAATTGACACATCTTTTGGAAATAAAACCACATATTTTGTGGTTCCTTGCACTGACCATGCTGTACAGTTAGTTGCATCATTTTAGTATCTGGATCAACAAATTGGCAACTATAGGGACGTTTTTTCATTAATGGGAAGCTTGTCCATGCTTCTGTGTTCATACTGTTAGTTCTCCATTCCCAGCTGTATGTTACTTGCTTGAGGCAGCACGATCAGCAAGTAACGTGCAAAAATATAACCTGTTTTTGTGTGGGAAGGGAGAGAAACATTATTCACTCAGGAAGAAGATCCTGTCTCTAGGTGCAAACACTTCAAGTGAAACAGAAACAAAGCACGTTTAAGTTACATCCTTAAAGTTTTTCCCACAAGGTGTCAGTAACTCTTCAGTGCAAGGGCTTAGGTGGTAGATTTCTGACCGAATAGAAGTTGCTGAGAAATCTCTTGAGAGAAACTAATACTCTGAAACAAGTAGAAAGCTACCTCTCTGCAAGGACAAGCATTGCTATAGATGCCAAGACAATCCTACAGCCACGGCCATCTCGGAAAGGATTTACTTACCTTGAGACAGAGCCACTGAGATCAGGAAGAGAGCCAGGACAGCCACCAGTTTGCTGTTCATGATTACACAGGAGTTTTTAGCCTTGCTCTGGTTCTGTGGAGCAGTGACTTCTCTTGTCCCAGAGGATTGCTGGTGCCTGCTCTGGGCCATGCATCTTGCTTATATACTGTTTTTTACCCGGCGAGTGTGCTCTGCTGGCATGGAGATTACGTTAGAGGAATTTCCCAGATGCAGTAAAAATGAGTCACATGACTGTTGTGAAACTCCTTCCTAGATGATTCGGAGCTCTTCTGCTGAGTGTAGTATTAATCCATTAAAATATGTCAAGAACAGCTGTGCATTCTGATTTCTTTTGTAGACATTTGTGAATTTTGTTCTTTTTCCAGTGCATACCCTTGTTTAGTAATAAAACTTTATGAAGGCTTCACTTCTGTTTCTGTTATAACTTTTTATGACTTTCTTCAGGGTGATAACTGTTCTTTGTAGGGATGCCGGATCTAGACCCAAGACATTGACTTTCTCATCTCTGTTTATGGTGTTAGCTTCTCCTGAAATGATTTTAAGCCACTGGAGTGGAAATTGGGTAGTGGTGAAATAACTGACAAGCTTTTTCACTGGGGTCAGGATTTTATTTTTCTATTAATGATTTTGAGGTTTTTTGTTCTTCTTCTTCAGTTTACAAAGTAAATTAATCTCTAATAAGGTGTGTTCAGTAATGGAACTGAGGCTGCAATATTCAAAGCTTGCAGGGGGAAGCAGGTGTGAAATTCTGAAATGCTTGCATTTTTCATGTCATGTCACACTTGTGATACACGAAGGGAGCTTGTGTGCAAACAAAATAGCATGAACTGCTGAACGCAACTGCTTTTGTTTCCTTTGTAAGTCTAGATACTTTTAATAAGCCTTCCTGTCATCTTTCTCAGTGGCTGTAACTCTAGGTCTTAGCAAAGGTATTACGGCACTGCTGTGGATGTTTTTTCAAAGAACCTTGTTGCATGAGTGCTGAGGGTTTCTTTGCTGTGGCTGGTAGAGATACTACCTTGTGAGTGAGACAGTTTAAAGGGAAGACTTGGGTTCAGATGCTGATCTGTTGCTTAAATAAATATGTGGTTTTTTCACCCATCTGGAGTGCAGATGATTAGAAGTAGTTAGAAGCAGCTCTGTTTTGGTGGGTAAAGATGTGCTTTTGACCTCAATGACTTTTTCTGCTTGCTATCTCCAACCTCAAAGTTGTGATCTGTGGATTTATAGAGGTACTTCTCCCAAATGGTGAGAAGTTTGTAAAGACTAAATTAACTTTGGCATGTAAAGCATTGTAACCTGTTTATAGTAATAATTTAATCATTTGCCCATCATTTATTATGGTTTACTGTTTACCATTTGTCATTAACTTACTGGATAAAAAGAACCTGGCGATGAAAAGTTGTGTTTCCCATCACTGTGTCAGCTGACCCACGAAGTTTGCCTCTCCTACCTCTCTCTGAGTACCTAGTTAACAAAAGATACTGATTCTGACTCCTGATGGTGCTTCTCCTTAGCTGTATGGCTTAGAGCTTTATTGCAAAATACCTTTAGATCTCTGAAGGTGTGAAAAAGGAGAGGATTTTGCTAGGCACTGGAAGGTTTTTCTATTGGTTGTGCTGTATTATATTGTGTATGTTATGTTAAATTATCAGGCTGGTTTTACTGGCATCAAACTGTACATGTTGGGGCTTTAACCAGTTTACTTGGAAGGAGCTTTTTGCTGATTCTTCTCCTTTGGGTTCTCTGTCTCTACGTATGTATGTACGCACAGGCAATTAAAGTTTGATTAGAGGTCTCACTTAGCTTACTTACTATTTACAGCTTTGTTATCTAATTTTGGCCTGTGTTGAAAGGTCATTAGCAAAAAAAGAAAATTCCCCCTCAAATCCCTAGTCCGCTTGTCTTCCTCACCACTGGACTCAGCTATTTCCTGAGTGAGGCAGTAACAGAGCTGCAGAAATTCCCAGGTCAGAAGTGAAGCCAAGAGCCTGCTCCACCTATATGATTAACCCTGCCCCCGAGCTAGGAGTGTCTGTCGAAAAGAGCAGGATGTTTGTAATGAAATAAAAAACCACTATGTTTTCTGAGGGCTAAAGTATCTTCTCTACCTTCCTTGTTTCTCTGATGTGCCACAGTTTCACCAAGAGTACTTGAAAGGGGTGTAAGAGTGGCATAAAAAGGTTGAGACATGAGATCAAGCCCAAAGGCCAGGCACTCCTAACCTGCATTCCTGGGAGTGCCATGCTTCACCCGAGTTCTCTGTACATCACTTCAACACTCTGCCCAGGTTCTCATCCCAGCCCTTCCTTATGGGAACTCTAAATCCATTCTCTGATTTTGGCAGCAGGTGTTTTGCCCCCAGCCATCAGAGGTGACTTGTGCCAGTGGAATTGCTGCTCTGTTTTCCAGGACAACGTCATCGAGTGAGCTGATACTGCTGCAGGCACAGACCTTCCATGCTCAACCCTGCTAGAAGCCTGCTTGTAACTAGGAACAACAGTTATGCAATAGTTGATGACAGGAAAGACCTCTGAAAAGGGAAGTAAATACCTCATTTGCCTGTGTTTTAAGGCAGGGTATGGGATGTGTTCTTTGTGCTGCAGGATGGGAACTAGTGGGTTTTCTTTTTCATGAATCAGTACCGTGTCTAATGAAGACAAAAGCCAAAGGGGAAACTCTTGGGGTCTTGGCTGGGATGATTTAGAGTCTTTGCATGTACAGAGGGCACTCAAACACAAGGGACACGGTGAGGGGGATTCATGGATACTTTGGTGACCCAGACCATCACGAGGGAAGGGGAAAGGCTGGCCTCCAGTCCCTTACTGTGCTGAGTCACCCCAATTCTGGAGGAATGCTCCAGCCTCTGGGCTGCTTAGGTCACTTTCTCTAAGAAAATTAAGAACCTGACTTGGTTTAGTCAAATTCATACATCTCACTTGAGAAGCTGTGCACACAAGACCCCAAAGGCCCAGGAGACAAAGCTTTTGCTGGAACAAGGGTTCAGCCTGTGCCAGGTGAACTCTGTCACCTCTGTCACCTGTGCATCCTCTCTGCCAGCTACTCCGGCTCATCAGAGAAAATATCCACTCTGTCTTCTGAAACCACCTCCTTTTCCCAACAAAAGGGCTTGGCATTCACCTGCCATTGCACTTGACCCAAGGAGAGCAGAAGGGGCAAATACCAAGGTTGGGAAATAATCTCTTCGACCGCTCAGAAACTGGGCACAATGTTGTGCAGCACTTGTGGAAGTTCACAGTGAGGCACAGTCTAGGGAGCAGATATGTAAAAAGCAGAATGTCTCCTAAACATCTGAGGTTTGAATTGCAAGATGAGGAAGTGCTAGCAGAGAAAGGAGAAAAGCTGAGGTCAGCTTGTGATTTTGTTTTTTTAAACAAAGTGCCTAAATATAGATGGTTATGTAGCCTTAGTAGATTGTTGTCACTGCTGGACTTTCCTGAATCCCTCTGGCATCACAGATTAGCAGTGCAGCTTTTTAGCTGATTTGCATTTTAATTTATATATTTATAAAATGTAATAGTGTAAGAATGTGTTTATGTTACTCCATATTTATTTATGACATATGTTTCATCTCTCCTTGGGAACAGTCAATTGTAAATTGTAGCTTTCAAAGTTGTGGGTTAAATTAAATGTTTCATTTGATCCAATGCAATATAAAAAGTTATGGAAAATATTAATAAGGGGTATCTAGTAATACCAGAAAATGATACGTTAATATTAATTATAACATTAACAGGAAATATTTTCAAATATTAACAAATATTCCTATTAAAAATAAATTTGCTCTACCTTGTGGTGACAGAGGAGACCCTAAGTCCAATTAGAGAATTGTTCGGGACCAGCAGCAGGGGATTTAGCTGGTCTGGGAAGGTTGTGTTTAGTGCTTTAGTTTCATTTCCCTTTCATGGGTTTGGCAGGAAGCATTTCCTGACTGTGGACGTAAGATATGGAAGTGGCAGAAGGAAACACATGGTAAGTTTTAAGAAGTACATGCTGGGAACTTCTGATGAAATTAGAAGTTGTCAGTAGACCTAATATACGTCATGTGGTCATCTCTGACTCTTCCAGTGTCATAGAATCACTGAATGTCTTGAGTTGGAAGGGACCTCTAAAGACCACCTAGTCCAACCTCCCTACAGCAAGCAGGGACATCTCACACTAGGCCAGACCCCTCAGAGCCCCATCAAGCCTGACCCTGAATGTCTTCAGGGATGGGGCCTCCACCACCTCTCTAGATCAGTGATCCACCACCCTCACAGTAAAGAACTTTTTCCTCATGTCCAACCTCAATCTACCCTTCTCTAGCTTGAAATCATCACCCCTTGTCCTATCATGGTCACATGCCCTGTGACCAGCTCTTCCCCAGCCTTCTTATAAGCCCCTTTCAGGTGTTGTGAGGTTGCTGTAATGTCCCCCCAGAGTCTTCTCTTCTCCAGGCTGAAGAACCCCAGCTTCCTCAGCCTGTCTTCATAAGAGAGCTGCTCCAGCCCTTGGATCATTTTTGTGGCCCTCCTCTGGACATGCTCCAGCAGATCCACCTCCTTCTTGTGTTGGGGGCTCCAGAGCTGTTATCTTCTTGCCTGCTGAAGTCCAGGCAGTGCAGCCTGGTGGGTGTCAGCCCCCACACTTCCTGGCAGTGAAGCCACAGGGTAAGCACAGAGGTGGAGAGGTTTTCAAGATCACTCCAGTGAATGTAGGTAGATAGCCTGCCTGTGGAGGAAGTGCAAAAATGTGAACATCTGAATCTTTAATAAAAATACAGCATTTAGTATTATAAATGTGATCTGTTTTGCACAAAAGCTGTTGCACACAAACTTGCTGACCTGTTGATTAGAGTTGTGAAAGAATTTCAGAAAGGCAATTTGACTATACCTGTGAGACCTTCCACATCCATAGGCTCGTGGTCACTTTTAAAGAATTGTAACAAGTGCATGAAAGACTTCCTCCAAAGCTGCACACTCTTCCTTATTGTATGTTCATTCATGTGTTTACTAGTCGTGTCCTTTCTATTTCTACTT